GAATTTTGATGGGGATTGAATTGAATTTGTATATCACTTGGGGTAGTATCTCAGTGCTTCTTAACCCTCAGTACCTAAAATCTCCTGTTTTTTTTTTTTTTTTTAATGTAAGTGTTGAATTACATTATATTCAACATATTCTCAGCAAACCACACAAAGTCACACAGCACCTACGCAGTGTGGCCGCTTCCCAGTCGAGCCTGGAGCGCGCGGAACGCAGACGTCCTGCCCAGAGACGCTGCAAGGCCTGCGGCAGGAGGAAGCACGTTTTGGGGAGGGGAGGCTATTCTGGTCGGTCATGCCATCGGTGGGACAACAAGCCTCGTGTAGACAACATCACATACACAGAAAAAGCATGTGCAGTCAGGACACACACGCCGAAGAGCACCGTTCCCATCACACGGGATCCACAGCGAAGAGATGTACGTGGGTGGTGGCTCCCGCTGTGAACGGACGGGAACGGCTGGGGCGGAAGGGCGTACAGCGCGCTTCCGAAAGCTGGAGGCTGACGACGCCCTGACCCGACGACCCGTCGGTCCCAGCGCCGCTTCCGGAGCCGCCGCGNAACGCAGACGTCCTGCCCAGAGACGCTGCAAGGCCTGCGGCAGGAGGAAGCACGTTTTGGGAAGGGGAGGCTATTCAGGTCGGTCATGCCATCGGTGGGACAACAAGCCTCGTGTCGACAACATCACATACACAGAAAAAGCATGTGCAGTCAGGACACACACGCCGAAGAGCACCGTTCCCATCACACGGGATCCACAGCGAAGAGATGTACGTGGGTGGTGGCTCCCGCTGTGAACGGAAGGGAACGGCTGGGGCGGAAGGGCTACAGCGCGCTTCCGAAAGCGGGAGGCTGACGACGCCCTGACCCGACGACCCGTCGGTCCCAGCGCCGCTTCCGGAGCCGCCGCGCCTGCGCACTGAGGCCTCCACGAAAGAACCAATGGTCCTCGCAGGAGCAGTGACCCGGGACCGCGGCCTCCCGGGGCAGAGCCTGGGACGGCCAGCGGGCCTTCGGCGCAGAGTTCCGGCCCCTGGTTCGGCCTTGTCGCTGCTCATCTTCTGCCACCCCTCCGCCTGGCTGTTCCTGTCTTGGGGCATCCAGCGTCCTTTGTGCCGTAGTCAGAGACGGTGGCCCGCCGCCGGCGTCCCGTCGGGGTGGCTGTGTGCGTGCCGAGCTTCGTCCTGGAAGAGGTGTATTCGGCCCCGTCCCTGCCACCGCTCCCGGGATGTGAAGTGGGAGGTTTGGTCTGGATTCTAGATCAAGAGATCGTAGTGGGTTATTGAATCTTCCTGCCTGACGTTGAGTGCGGTGTTTTGTGTATTGTGCCTTTTTCTGGAGTAAGAATTTTTAGCTTTCATCACGACATCCATGATTACTTATGAAAGTTTAAGCCCCTTGGATTTCAAAAACAGAGTTAAACGAAATACTGAGAAAACAGGCATTACTGTTTTTTGGTCCCAGAACGTTTGCAGAATTCCTAGTACAGTATACTTTAAGTGTTTCATATGCATTATTCCATTTAATTGCCCACCGCCTATCCTAGGAGAGGAAACTGGGTAGTAGAAGGGTTTACATTTGGTAGCCAGTGATTCGAACCGCCATCTGGGTAGTGAAAAGAGTAAAATACGAGTAAAACCCTGGCCTCATTAGCTATTATATCTCTGCTCTCAGAGCTATCTAAGATTGCATGACATTTCTATCGAAAAAGAGATTCCCCAAAAGATCCTATATATTAAAACGTACAGCCCTGTTTCCTTGAAAGATGTGTTCAAACCTAATGGTTTGAAGTTTAGCTAGCACGTTCTCAGAATCTTGCTTTAGCCAGTCTTTGTGGTTTGGGAAAAGTCTTATCTCTCTGTCCATCCCACACTTCTCTAAATATGATGGTTGGGCATGTTTTAGAACAATCAGGTTGAAATCCATATTTGCCTCCATTCTAGGCTCTTGCAGCCCTACAGTTGACATTCACTGCACTAGACATTTGGTTTCTGGATAGTTTAAAATAAAGTACAGAAAATAATTGTTGGATCCCAACATTGTTAGCGCCTTAGCAGGAATAGTGAGAGGACTGCAAAGTGGATAAGGAATGGATATGTTGTGAATTGCTTAACCTTTTGATAAAGATAGCCCTTCAATAAAAGAGTATGTGGTCCTTTGTTAATGAGAATAATATGACTAACACCTGTGCTTTTCTTACTGCCTTTCATCTGATACTTTGCTGGAATTTACAAAATGTAATATCAATCTAGGCTTTGCAGTCTGCTTTTTTTTGTTTTGTTTTATTTTATGAGACAGAATCGACCCATATCAGGCACAAATTCATGGCTGCTCTTATTTATATCTTGATGTAACTGAGCAAGTCCTTGCTATGTGGTAAGTAATACCTGTGAGTATCTTTATTCTTTGTTTTTTTAAACAGGCAGTCATGGATCAAGTAATGCAGTTTGTTGAGCCAAGTCGGCAGTTTGTGAAAGACTCTATTCGGCTGGTGAAGAGATGCACCAAACCTGATAGAAAAGGTAATAGCTTAAACATGAGGGAAAAAGTTTCTTTGCATTTTCTAAGGCTTTTATTTGATTAATGTCTTCCTGATTAATAACCATTGCATACGTTCATCAACATTTTTATTGATTTATTTTGCTTTATTGTTTTTTAATGTCACTTTTTCTTAAATTTTGTACACTCTTTGTTGTCTAAATTTTTCTGGTTTTTATGTTTACAGATGGTGTAAGATTATTTATTACAGGCTTATTTTCCATTTGCATTTGAGTTAGACTTATTTTATGACTTTAGAGTTTTAGTATTTACACTTGAAAGATCTTTGGAGGGCTGGCTGGTTAGATCAGTTGGTTAGAGCGTGGTGCTGATAACACCAACATCCAGGATTCGATCCCTGTACTGACCTGCCTCCGCCCCCCACCCCAAATATTTGGAGTCCTCTCTGCCCTGTCCCCACCTCAACAAACAAAACCTTAACATGAAACCAACAATGTATTTGTTGCCAACCTAGAAATTTTATTTTTCATCACGATTCATGTTTTAAAGGTGCACCAGGATTTGTCTACTTTTATTCATTACATTGACTGAGGTAGGAGCTGCGAATAAAATAGAGAATATAATACATTGAATTGTATATGTAATATAATATCTAAAACATGATGGAGCTTAAAATCTATCAGGGAGACTGGCATAAACAAGTAAATGCAATTTACATTTTTTGATTACTGCCTTGGTAAATATTATGAAAAATAACTAGAAGGAGGTCTGACAACACACAATAGGAAGACTAACCAAGTCTGGAGGTCAGGGAAAGCTTCCCTGAAGAAATAACATAAAACTGAACATTGCTGGATCTGAAACCTTATTGTAAAATTGTGCTCAACCAACTTGATTTTTCAAACCTTATTTTTGGTTTTATAGTATCAAAGACACTGGACCCATTGTTTATAATGTACCAAAAAATTTATGTTTCTGCCTTTATAATCAATATGTCACAATAAAAATTACAATACTACTTTGAAATTTTTTTAAGAAAAAAATTTTCTTGTATTTCTTCCATCCTTGATTTTGGTGGTGGGGGGAGGGGGTGGATATTCTGGTTATTCGCTAAGAAGACTTAGTGTCAACAAAATGTGGAAATTAAAAAACCTGTTAAACAAGTTATTTACTATTAATAGTCTTACATAATTTTTTTAAAAGAAAAAGTATTTACTAATCAGGAGAAATGTACACCAGTAAGTTCATTCATGTTACTTTCAGTGACAGCGCAGAAAAAATAATGTAGATTTATGTTCTTAAATGCAGAATTCCAGAAGATTGCCATGGCAACAGCAATAGGATTTGCTATAATGGGATTCATTGGCTTCTTTGTGAAATTGATCCATATTCCTATTAATAACATCATTGTGTAAGTAAACTTTCTGAAATAGACTGTATCTAGAATTGGATGAAAATTGAAGCCATTTGAGTTGACAGTTAGCCTGCTATTTCATTAATAATATTCCTATTAATAACATCATTGTGTAAGTAAACTTTCTGAAATAGACTGTATCTAGAATTGAATGAAAATTGAAGCCATTTGAGTTGACAGTTAGCCTGCTATTTCATTAATACACAGGTAGATCTATTGACTTTTTAATGCTATTAAAATGTACTAATATTTGTTATCTAGAAATCCAAAGTGCTTCTATATCTTACACACAATTTTTATAGCAACTCTCTGACCTAGGCACTATTTTCTTTAATAAATAAAATTTTATAGAGTCAGGGAAATAACTTGAAGATACTCAATATGTCACAAGGCAAGTATTCAGTGACAGAACAAATGTTCAAACCCAAGTCCTCTTTATGCTATATCTTTTGATTTTTAAGTTGCAGAGGAAATGTTCTTCATCTGAAAATCACTATTATGATAGACTTCAGAGTTAGAATCAAATTGCCTAGATTCAAATCCTCTTTCTTGTTACTTAACAATTGTCACGACCTTTGGTTGGTTTATTTAGCCTCTCTGTGCCCAGTTTATTCAATGAGTATAATAGTTCTTACTTGGGTAATCGTAAAGATTCATGACTTACGTCACTTAAGGCCCTGAAAAACAATTTGGGAAGGAACTTAAATGGAAGTTGTTATTGTAATGAGCCATTGATACGAATGGGAGGGCATCATAACCTTTAGGTAGATTAGAGAGGAGGAGAAAAGGCTGAGAAACATTGAGATCACTTTATTCTTTTCCAAATGCTTTTGCTTTTAAAATTCTTACAAGTCATTGGGACACCTTATGGCATTGAGCAGTTAGACAATAGTCAGTTTTAGGTAATTCTGTTTAGTCTAAGGACTTAGTGTGAGTTCCAGTACAGGTTGAGTGTCTCTTATCTGAAGTGCTTGGAACCAGAACTGCTTCAGATTTCAGATTTTTTCTGACTTTGGAATATTTGCAGAGTACATACTGGTTGAGCATCTCATCCAAAAATCCGAAATCCACAGTGTTCCATCGAGCATCTCCTTTGAGCATTATTTTGGCACTCAAAAGTTTCAGATTTTGGAGCATTTTGGATTTCAGATGTTTGGATTAGGGATGCTCAACCTATACTTATTTACTATGATTTTGTATTCATTTAATATTTCAGCCCCATCTGCCATTTGGAGGTTAGTAATACCTGTTGGGCTTATTTTATGGGATGGGCAAATTTGATGCAATTATTTAGAAAAGCTTTCTAAACTGTAAATCTTTTAAATACTAGATATTTTATCTCTGATACTGGTGGAGGCTGTCTTTTAAATGATGAGTGACTGACTGCATATTGTAGATGGATTTCTTAAGTAGGTTACCATAGTTATTAAGCAGAAGTGCCACAAAGCGAGATTTTAGGATCATGAAGAGTTAGAGCTGGAAAGGACCAAGTCACTCAAATCTTTATCAGTTCAGAAATTCCTTTTATTTTTCTAGTGAGAAATGTTAACTGTGGATTTGTGGAGTCCTGGGGAGAACACTGAAGTAGAATTAGGAAACCCAGAGACTGTCTGTGGGCTGCATTTTGCCTAGTCAGTGAAAAGGGGAATGGAATACAGTCCTGTGAAGACTCCTGCTCTTCTTGCTTCCCATTCTATCATGGGACTGGTTTACTTGATACAAAGCATTTCTTTGATACAGAGTTTGTTTCTGATGATAATCACCCTTCCTTGTTCTTACTTTTACTCTCCAGAACAGCATATATTTGGTATAAACACCTTCCAGATGTTTTCCCTAACCTTCACATAGCACTATATTTTTATCTCTCTTGCCAGAAATTACTGTCTGCCTTGGGTCGTACTGAGATATGTCTGTCTTTCACATAGATAATGAGTTCTGAGGCAAACATGTTTTTTTATTTATGTTACATATTTCTTCTAAAGAACCAGTTCAGTGCTCTCTTAGAGCATCTGTTAAAAGCACTGAATAAGGGTTTGTTGAATTAAGTGAACAGCTTCAGGCTCTATACCTTTTTCTAATGGTGGCGATGGTAATAAGAATAATAATGACTAATGTTTATTGAGAACTTACCATGTGCCAGGGAACTGTTCCTCCTTTATGTGAGTCAACTCATTTAATCCTCATGAAGAAGATGAGGCCTGGAGAGACTAACTTACTCGAGTGTTTTGGCTAGTAAGTGTAGAGCAGCATAGGAAACCTTTTGGAAGCTAGTGGCTTAGAAAACTTTTCTTCTGGTTGAACAAAAAATTGTTTCAGTGTTAAAGGAGTTTAAAATCTGTCTTTTGATTTTTTTTTTTACTTTAAAGTGAAGGCCAAAGAAAACATGTTGTGAGGAAAGCTACAGAAAACATATTCTTCTTATGTTATGCCATGACAGCTGTAAAACTGAAAGAAATCTTCTTTTTCTTAACTTAAAAGAGCATAAATCACAGTTTAAGTCATTTTGAGATAATAGTTTGGGAAATATAACTACAGGCTTCTCCTTATTATCATATGTTTTTCCTTATTTTTTTTCTTTACAATTATAGTATTCAAAATTAATATCCACAGTATTGTAATTTAAAGGAGTTATTCATTTGCTAGTGTTTTAGTTACAGCAATACAGTTTATTGATATAAGATTTAAATACTTAGCATTAAATTATATATTTGGGGTATTTTATGATTTTCATTTACTAGTGAAATTACTTTTTGTTTATCATACGACTAAAATGTATATCTGACTGTCCAGTTTTAATGTTTATGCTTTTAAAACTTAGAAGTTCTTCTCTAGAAAAGGTGATTTTTGTTTTCATTAAGAGTAAAGCAGTATTTTGAGTGATTAGGGTAAGATAATAGTGGTTGAGAGCTACTGTGCTCATCTGCAGTTTTTATTTTCAACTGGTTTGTTAGCTGTGTATTAAATGGAAAAACTTACTAGCCATCCTGTCATGTAATTTATAGTTTTCACCATGTTCAGAAACACATTATGCTAGACTGTTCCAAAATGACATTTCCCAAATGAACATTGTGACTTTTAAAATACACCTTTTGCAGTAGCCGTGTCATCTCTAAGGACCTTTTTGGTTCCAAGATTTTAAAGTTCAGTGTGCCTTTCTTTTATGCTGTCTTTGGGTAAAGTGAGGTGTGGTTCTCAAGTAACTGATTTTAATTCCAGAAAATTATAGCATTTTACATTTTAAATAATTATTATTGTTAAGATCTTATATATGCTAAAAAATGACTATTTTCCTTTCCTTTACAGTGGTGGCTGAATAATTTTTGGAAGAGTGTTTTTCATCTTCGGGATTGATGAACAAGTGAGGGGTTGAGAACTCATGGAGTAAAAATTTGCCTATGTATTTTGTTTTTCTCCTTTTTTTCTTCCAAGATATTTTCTATTTCTAAATTAAAATAATTTCAAAATAAACAAACTTCTCTTTTTTTCCATCACTGATATTTATCCCATTTTCATGATAGAATTTCCCTCCTTCCTTCTTTCTTTCCTTTTGTCCTTCCTTCCCTCCCTCCCTCCCCTCTTCCGTCCTTTCTTCCTTCCTTCATTCCTTATTTTGGTTTATAGGAAAAATTAAAGGGCCTGGTGAAATATTGCACCTTCTGAGAGCTCTTCTTTCTTAGTCACAGTTCTGGAGGCTGAGAAGTCCAAGATCAAGGTGCTAGCAGGTTTGAGGTTTGGTGTCTGGTGAGGGCCCAGTCTCTAAATGCTGTATCCTCACATGGCAGAAGGGATGCAAAGGCAAAAAGGGCCAAAGGCTGTGTGAAACCTCTTTTATAAGGGTCTTAATCCTATTCACAAGGGAGGAGCCCTTGTGACCTAATCACCTCCTAGAGGCCCTGTCTCTTAATATTATTGCATTGGGGAGATTAAGTTTTTATATGAATTCAAACCACAGCATCTTCTTTCAGATAAATGTTTTCCTATGATGGAAGAAGAACAGAGCAGTAAAAGATGGTAAAGACAGTGAACTCCTACTAGAGTTTGAGGGAAGGGTAGGAGTTTTGTCCATACGTACCTACTAAATTGTAACAGGTAGTCAGAATTATTAAAAAAGTTTAGGTGCTACTTGAATTAGCTTCCTGAGAATTGTGGTTAAACCTTCAAAGTGAAAGGTCTTCTCTTAGATATACTAATTAGTCACACTGTCATGAACACTGGAGTTCTGAATTTATAAAGAGCTTACTGAGAATTGAATCTGAAATGAAAAAGGGGCTTTTCCTCTTCCTCCTTTTAAAAAACAGTAATTTAAAAGTGGAACAGTTTATTTCCCTTTAAAAAATAGCTGTTGTATTACTTTGTTCAGTGTTTAGTTACTGAACTTTATTTCCTTGGTTCTAATATTTTGATAAAATCTCCTTTTAAAAAACAGTAATTTAAAAGTGGAACAGTTTATTTCCTTTTAAAAAATAGCTGTTGCATTACTTTGTTCAGTGTTTAGTTACTGAACTTTATTTCCTTGGTTCTAATATTTTGATAAAACTTGGTTAACAGCACACACGTGGGTAAGTGTTCTCTGCTCCTCATTGAGTAAGGTGAGCAAGTGTGTAATTAGTATGGTTGGGCAGAACTTCTGTTGGGATCAATAGTACAGAGAACAAAGTATTTTCATAGTAGTAATAACAGGTTTTTTGCCTAATTTTGAAATGTTGGCAGTGTTTCAATTGGTGTCTTCAGAGAAATAAAAATACAATGAAGCTTTGGCCGTCTCTAATCTTAAGGAGACCACATTTTGTGGATATATATCCCTTAAGATGTCTGTGTCAAAAATGTGTACACGTGTGCATGTGTATGTCTATATAACATGAATGAACATATACGTGTATATATTAAGTACTTGTGATAGAAATTGTAAAACGTAGACTTTGCTGCTGGCAAACGTGTATTTTGTTGCAAGATAAAATGATTCTGAACATTAATTTTTTTATGTAAGATAATTACAAATCCCTATTTGGCTGCTCATTTATTTTGATGACTTAACTGGTTCTTGACACAAGGGTAGAAAAAATATTACATAAATATTTTGTATTTATATATGTAAATAAAATGAGGGCTGACTAAGAGCTCTGGTGATAGAGAAGAATAACCTTCATAAGCAACAACTGAATTTCTTGAGTAGGAAAGAATCAATAGATTTTTCTTGCTAATCATACTCCTAGTGTATATAAGAGCTGCTATGTTCGTGTTGTACAAGAGTACTTAAACTTCAGCAGGCATAAGAATCACCCAAGGGAATTTCTGTAAAATTTTGTTTTTTAAATACCTATAGCAAAACATACTAATCCCCATCTTGTGACAATCCTGCCGTTCCCACAATCCCCTATATTGTACAGGCAAGTCCTTGGCCATCTGGTCCACCAGACTAAAAATCTAACACCTAGAAAATCAACAACAGGAAGACACATCAAGGAGGGAGGCAGTAATCATACAGACAAGGGCAGAGCCTTGATTGATAGGGGAGGGTAGGAGAGAAAGGCTGGTTCCTACTTCAGTTGCTTTGTTACTGCTGGGAGGTGTCGCCTTGCTCCAAAGTCTGTCCTTGAGACCTTTGTCTACTCTTTGTTAGAAAGGTTCTGCTTGTAGGGAAAGGTACTTAATTTAACCTGAGTGTAGGAGGTGCCATAAAGCTGGCACCTTTGTCATAAAGCTTCTGCTTAAAATGATCTCAGTTTTACTTTACACACTGTTCATAATTTTGTGCTGTAGAAAAAGTCTCTTCTGGGTGGATTCCCCACAGCTTGGATGCAGTTTTATGTTTTTCAGGCCTGTCTATAACCTCTATAGCCATTAGCATGTTAGTGTATGCATTTCTCTCATAATTTTTGAGCTCCTGGTAGACTTTCTTTTTGCTTGTTAACCTTGCTTTTAGGACTGTTTGTAGCCTTTTTAGAAGACACCTAGATTAGGGTTTGTTAAAATAGAGCATCATACAATTTACTAATTACAATTTAATTGAAACGTATTTGCATTCTCTTCCCAACCTCCATTCTATCCTCCCCCAAAATCCTTACTTGGTTGTTCTTTTACAAGGCAGTCAGAAAACACTTGATTTTCTGCATGAATAGTATTTATTACAAATGCTGACTGACTAGTAGAGGTTGGATCATATGATTTATAGGGTTACTTTGATAAGCTTTTATAGTTTTCAAATTATTCTCAGTTAATCCTCACAGTAACTGATAAGTAATGTGAATATATTCTTTAAAATATATCCACAGTTTATTCATTCCCTCCACTGCCGTCACACCATCTCACCTGGATGTTTTACCTTTTTATTTTTTGCCCCACTAGAATATAAGTTCCACAGAAGGCAGACATTTTTGTCTGCCTGATTTACTGCTGTATTTCACATGCCTGGAACAGTGTCTGTACACAGTAGCCACTTTATATTTTTTAAATGTATGAAATTGAAGTGTTTGCTGGTTTAATCCTTTGTACGTACAACATAGAGCAGATGATTCTTTAGACCACTGGACTAGTATAGTGTACAAAGCAAATCCTCCACTTCTCTGGCTATAGTAATCTAGTGTCAGAAAACTAATCTATACACACACTCTCTCTCTCTCTCTCTCTCTCTGCTGCATCAAGGTCTTGGTTTGCGTACTCTGCAGCTCTTCAACTTGGGACTGGCAGTTCTGGGTTTTTAACTTGCTATGCCGCCTTCTCCCTCCCATTGGCCTGTATAGAAAATATTTTCCTTCATGTATGATGATGTAAATTTAGTTTTTTTCAGATGAGATTGTTTTTAGTCATGGTATCAATACAATTTGTACGGTTCTTCCTCTTCTTTTAAGGGCCACATGATGTTCTGGGGACCACCTGCAGTCATGTCTTAGGACTGGCTAACCTTAAAAGAAAGCACTTACATTTGGAGAAGATGATTCTGAAACTGGCCAGAGTGCCAATGAATAATACTTCCCTTTTCCAGAATGTCTTTGAGGCCTTATGAAAAAAAGAAACCTAGGATGAAGGATCAGAAAAACTGGCCCCGTTTCTTCAATTCTTCTGGCATTATTCTCTCCAAATGTAATGGGAATATAAGGCCTAGCCCCATCCTGTAGTAAGAAGAATGTAACATCTAGTGAAAGGGCTTTGGAAGCGAAGGCTGTATAGACAGGAGTACCCGTACATGACATGTGAAACAGTTTCATGTAACAACTTACATGGAAGTTATACTGCATACTCTAGTATTTTCTGTTCTATTTCATTTTCTAAAAAACAAAGGCTTGTGCATACTTTATGAGGTATATTGCTCAGAGGGTTATTGCTTTCTGCTTTTAGAGGACTAAGGAGTTAGAAAATGAGCCTTATCCCTGGCAAGCAGAGTGGATCGAAGACGAGACAGGACCACGTAAGCCCTTCGGGCCTTTGCATGACCAAGGCCTGGTGGGAGAATCTTTGAAAATAGCCGAGGTGGAGTTTCTGACAACCCGAAGGGTGGGGCATTGGAACCATGTAATTTTTATTAGTCAAGAGAATGAATTTTTTGCATCCTAGTTTTATGGTCTGAAATTCATGCCTGCTATATTCTGTAGCTGTAAATCTTTGCATCTCTCTCACACAAGCAACTGATGTTTTAATTGCCTGTTTCACTTCTCTAACTGTTGCTCTGAGGAGGATATCTCTGCTTGTTGCTGGACATTTTGGGCTATACAATGTATGTGTGTGTGTGTTTGAAGAAATGATGGCCCACTTTCCAAATGTGCACAGTATCTTCTCTTCTGGTTTTTCTGTAGAATCTCTGAGCATTTGCATTTTCCACTGGGTAAGCAAAGCCCAGCCCAGAGATAGTGTCTATTCCTGCTAAACCCCATTTGTAGCCCCCAAGGGCTACCAGCATCAGTCTCATTTGTCAGCTGTGTTCAGGGCCTTCCACTGGGGAATCTGCCCCATAGCCGTCGATAGTCTCTCTCTTACTGGTAAACAGAACAGTTCTTTACTGGAAGAGGGTGCAAAAAGAACATGTCTTGATTCAGCCATCTCTGCACTGCCACAGTGTACCCCACATCCACTCATTTCATGGGCCCTGGTGGCCAACTAAGGGAGCATACCATAAGGTCCACTTGGTGGTTCCAATCACCTTCCAAACCTGGAAGGGAGCTCTTCTGATGGGCATTGACATGTTCTATTTAATGCTGCCCTCACATGTCCGTAGGGTTGTGCCCCACATGGGCATCCCTTTAGTAGGGCAGGTGTCCATTGCCATTCTGCCTGGCTATGGCCTGTGAGTGGCTATGGCCTGTGAGTCAGTAAAAACCCCAACACAGAAGAGGCTTTTTCCATCATTCAGTTCTTCACCATGCAATCCAGCACACCAAGCTGATTTGTTTTTACCTCCTTCCATCAGTGACACCCTTCCAAACAGGATGTTGTCTATTCAGTTAGGAACTGCCATCCACAAACCGAGCACCTTT